GAACAAACAATTAAGGCTTCTCGTGGAGCAGTTTGCTCGAGACACTAAGAGATCATGCTCCAAGATGGAACTTCAAATCAAAGCCCTTGCCCCTTCCGATCCCTCATTTCTTCATGAAATGGAGGAGTCTGTTCAGCGCTCAGCAAAGCAAACATAGTGGGTGGAGCAAGTTTGCTCACATCTTGCTCAAGATCACCTTTCTGCTACCACGCTAGAAGAGGTGGAGGATGACAAAGGTTACGGGGATGTTGAGGAGCATACAGAAGTTATCACAGAGAACTCCCATGATAATCATGATCAAGTGTATCCTCTGGTTGTAGATCACAACTTTCACCATTTCCGCTCTAACATGCTGGGCCTGAGCGAGGAGATGCAAGCTGAACTTAGTGAGAACCTTGCATGGCGACTTGCTCTCCAATCCGTGCTGGAAGAAGAAGAAGAGCAAGAAAGGGTGCAGAAAGAAGTTGTGGAGGATGACAAAAGTGAAGCAGAAGGAGTTCTTGATCTTTTCTCAGGGGTGATACCACATGAAGAAGGAAGGGGGGTTGAAGAAGCAACTGACGTCCAGGCCGATGACGAAGTTGAGGTGGAAGAGGCTTGCACCGGCCATGAGTTACATGTGTTATCTCCACCAAACTTCGAGGAATTGCTTAGCAAGGACCCATTTGCAGTGTCTCTTTGCCAGACCAAGGCCACATCGACAATGGTCCCTCTTGGTGGACGCGATGGTGGCCATTCAATGTTGTCATATCTGGTTTGCGGCAATGAGACGAGAGAAGAGAAGAAGAGGTCTCGAGGGTGGAGACTTCATCTGCATCAAGCGCACGAGCTTCCATCACCTGTCATACCACATGCTCGTGACTTGAGATTCCACCTCATCGACGAGAACCTTAACTTCAAAGAGGTTTTGGGGTGGACCGAAACTTAGGAGCCATCGTTCGGCTCACGACGTTAAAGAAGTGCTTGTTGGGAGGCAACCCAACCAGTCGGTTTGCATGTCTTTGTCTATTTCTCCTCAGTTGAGTCAGTTTTGTTCTTTGATTTTAGAGTCAATAACTCAACCTTTGTGAGATTTTGTGGGGTGTTTGTGTTCCAACTACGCTCTCCTCCTAGAATGCACCGCCTGCCCCATCCATCATCATTCACCCTTGATCTGGTAACTTCGTTCTACCTTCCTTATCTTTCCTCCATTGAGGACAATGTCGTGCTTAAGTGTGGGGGGATGTTCGATTATGTATGCGTGTGAATGTTTGGTTGTATGTGTGTGCTTGGAGCCTAGTCCACTGTCCAAATCTTGAGATTTGAGGGCTCTAAGAACTTTTGTTTGCTTGATCGTATTGGCATTGTGGGTTTAATTGGTGAATCGAATGGCTTTCGAATTAATGCATGACAACTTGATTGTAACTAGGAAAACCTATGATGATGACTGAGAAGTGCAGTAGGATTGTGTAGGAGTTTATTTTTTCAACTGTTTGCTTACCAACTGTGACTTGGATTGACTCGGCCGCATTCCGTGCTCTGCAGCCTCCAGAATCCAAAGAAAATTGCATTCGAAAAAATTGCCCGAAATCTGTGATGGTACCCCTTTGGAATCTGCCAAAAATTGACCTGGAATAAATCCGCCCAAATCGGTTCTTAATGGACTTAATCATCGTTGAAAAATAGCCTCAGGCCAAATTCGTGATTTGTAGTCTTCAAAATCAAAAGAAAATTGTCATTCGCCGATATAAAAATTATGAAAATGTCGTCCGAAAATCAATTCGCCCAAATCTGTGATTAATAGACTTATCATCGATGGAGAATAGGATCAGTTGACTTCATTATCGGTGGAGAATAGACTCGGCCGCATTCCGCGCTCTGCAGCCTCCAGAATCGAAAGAAAATGGCATTTCGGAAAAATTGCACGAAATCTGTGATGGTACCCCTTTGGAATCTGCCAACAATTGACCTGGAATAAATCCGCCAAAATCGGTTTTTAATGGACATAATCATCGTTGAAGAATAGCCTTAGGACGCATCCTTGATTTGAAGCATTCAAAATCCAAAGAAAATGGTCTTTCGTCATCCAAAAAATTATGAAAATACCATCCGAAAATAAATGGGCCCTAATCGGTGCTTCATGGACATACCATCCGTGGAGAATAAGATCAATAGACTTCATTATCGGTGGAGAAAACCCTCGAGCTGATTCTGTGATCTGCAGGCCACAAAATCGAAAGAAAATGCCATTTCGGAAATATCGCCTGAAATCTGTGATGGTAGTAACCCTTTTGAATCTGCCAAAAATTGTCCCGAAATAAATCTGCCCAAATTGGTGATTAATGGACTTAATCATCGTTGAAGAATAGCCTCAGGCCGAATCCGTGATCTGTAGCCTTCAAAATGAAAAGAAAATGGCCTTTCGTCGACATAAAAATTACGAAAATGCCATCCAAAAATAAATTGGCCCAAATCGGTGCTTAATGAACTTATCATCCGTGGAGAATAGTATCAATAGACTTCATTATCAGTGGAGATTTGCGTCGGCTTGATTCTGTGATTTGCAGCCTCCAGAATCGAAAGAAAATGCCATTTCGGAAAAATCAACCGAAATCTGTGATGCTACCCCTTTCGAATCTGCCAAAAATTTACCCGGAATATTCCGCCAAAATCGGTGCTTAATGGACTTAATCATCGTTGAAGAATAGTCTCAGGCCGAATTCGAGATCACTAGACTGCAAAATCTAAAGAAATTAGTCTTTCGTCGACATAAAAATTATGAAAATGCCATCCGAAAATAAATTCGCCAAAATCGGTGCTTAATGGACTTATCATCCATGGAGAATAGGATCAGTAGAATTCATTATCGGTGGAGAATAGCCTCGGCCTGATTCCATGATCTGCAGCCTCCAGAATCGAAAGAAAATGGCATTTCAGAAATATTGCCTGAAATCTATGATGGTACCCATTTGGAATTTTCCAAAAATAGACCCTGAATAAATTCACCCAAATAGGAGCTTAATGGACTTAGTCATCGGTGAGGAATAGCCTCAGGCCGAATCAGGGATCTGGAGCCATTAAAATCCTAAAAAATGGCCATTCGTTGCTCAAAAAATTGCGAAAATGCCACCTGAAAATAATTTGGCCCAAATCGCTGCTTAATGAACTTATCATCCGGGGATAATAGGATCAATAGACTTCATTATCGGCGGAAAATAGCCTCGGCCTGATTTCGTGATCTGCAGCCTCTTGAATCGAAAGAAAATGGCATTTCAGAAAAATCAAGCTGAAATCTGCCCAAATCGGTGCTTAATTGACTTAATCATTGTTGAAGAATAGCTTCAGGGCGAATCCGTGATCTGTAGCCTACAAAATCTAAATAAAATGACCTTTTGTCGCTCAAAAAATTATGAAAAATGCCATCCATAAATAAATTGGCCAAATCGGTGCTTAATGGTCTTATCGTCCATGATGAATAGAATCTATAGACTTCATTATCGGTTGAGAATAGCCTCAGCCTGATTCTGTGATCTGCAGCCTATAAAATCGAAAGAAAATGGCATTTCAGAAAAATTGCCTGAAATCTATGATGGTATCCCTTTAGAATCTGCATAAAATTGACCCAGAATAAATCCGCCCAAATCGGTGCGTAATGGACTTAATCATCGTTGAAGAATATCCTCAGGCCAAATTCGTTATCTGTGACCTTCAAAATCCAATGAAAATGGGCTTTCGTCGCCCAAAAAATAACGAAAATGCAATACGAAAATAAATTGGCCCAAATCGATGTTTAATGGACTTATCATCCGTGGAGAATAGAATCAATAGACTTCATTATCGGTGGAGAATAGACTCGGCCTGATTCTGTGATCTACAGCCTCCAAAATCAATAGAAAATGGTATTTCTGAAAAATCACCTGAAATCTGTGATGGTACCCCTTTGGAATCTGCCAAAAATTGACCTATAATAAATCCGCCCAAATTGGTGCTTAATGGATTTAATCATCGTTGAAGAATAGCATAAGGCCGAATCCGTTATCTGTAGCCTTCAAAATCCAAAGAAAATGGCCTTTCGTCGCCCAAAAATTACGAAAATCCCATCCGAAAATAAATTGGCCCAAATCGGTGCCTATTGGAATTATCATCCGTGGATAATAGTATCAATACCCTTCATTATCGGTGGAGAATAGCCTCGGAATGATTGCGTGATCTACAGGCTCCAGAATCGAAAGAAAATAGCATTTTGAAAAAATTGCCCGAAATCTGTGATGACCCCTTTGGAATCTGCCAAAAATTGACACAGAATAAATTCGGCCAAATCGATGCTTATTGGACGTAATCATCGTTGAAGAATAGCCTCAGGCCGAATCCGTGATTTGTAGCATTCAAAACCCAAAGAAAATGGCCTTTCATCGCCCTAAATTTACGATAATGACATCCGAAAATAAATTGTCCCAAATCGGTGCTTAATGGACTTATCATCCGTGGAGAATACGATCAATAGACTTCATTATCGGTTGAGAATTGCCTCGGCCTGATTTCGTGATCTGCAGCCTCCAGAATGGAAAGAAATGGCATTTCGGAAAAATTGCCTGGAATTAGTGATAGTACTGTAACACTTTGGAATCAGCCAAAAATTGACCAGGAATAAATACGCCCAAATCGGTGCTTAATAGACTTAATCATCGTTTAAGAATAGTCTCATGCAGAATCAGTGATCTGTAGCCTTCAAAATCTAAAGAAAATGGGTTTTTGTCGATCAAAAAATTATGAAAATGCCATTCGAAAATAAATTGGCCCAAATCGTTGCTTAATGGACTTATCATACGCGGAGAATAGAATCAATAGGCTTCATTGTTGGTGGAGAATAGCCTCGGCCTGATTCCGTGATCTGCAGCCTTCAAAATCAAAAGAAAATGGCATTTTGGAAATGTCACCCGAAATTAGTGATGGTGCCCCTTTGGAGACTGCCAAAAATTGACCCGGTATAAATCCGCTATAATCGGTGCTTAATGGACTTAATCATCAATGAAGAATAGCCTCAATTCGAATCCGTGATCTGTAATTAAAAATCCTAAGAAAATGGCCTTTCGTCGCCCGAAAAATTACCCAAAATGTCATCGGAAAATAAATTGCCCCAAATCGGTGCTTAATGGACTAATCGTCCGTGGAAAATAGGGTCAATAGATATTATCGGTGGAAAATAGGACTTATCATCCCGTGATCTGCAGCCTCCAAAATCAAAAGAAAATGGCTTTTCGGAAATGTCAACCGAAATCTGTGATGGTACCCCTTTGGAATTCTCCAAAAATTGACCCAGAATAAATCCGCCCAAATGGGTCCTAGTACATGAATAAAGGTTTAGGAACGAGTTCGGGGTCGATTGGATGGAGATCGGACGTTTGGCGAGAAGCTAAGGAAGTCACACGGGCATGCCTAAAACCCACACGGCCATGTAAGGGAACCCACGTGGCTGTGTGGAAATTCCAGGGAACTCACACGGGCAGCCTGGAAATCCACACGGCCGTGTGGTTGTGGCCGTGTAGGATGGCTGAAGTCCACTTATCGAAACGCAGCGTTTTGCACAACTCACACGGGCAGCTGAGAAAGCCACACGGCCGTGTGGCCTGCCCGTGTGGTGGGAATTTCTGGGTTTTAAACCCAAATTCGAGCCAAAGGAGAGGAAATCGACTTTTTGGGATAAAAAACAGAGCCCTAGAGAGAGAAAGTGCGAAGAACACCTCCTAAGAGTGGTTTTGGAGCTGGGTTTCATCAATCAAGCTTGGAAATCATCCTTGGAGTGAAGATCATCATCCCAGAGAAGATTCTTCCCATTGTTATGAGTATGACTGCTTTGTATTCTGTTTTCCTCTCTCTCTCTATGGAGTAGAACCTTCTCTCAATTGGGTATGAAGAACCCTAGTTCCATGTGTTAGGGATCTTGATTGTAATGACTTAGGATTGTTATACTGATTGATTTTAATCAATTGTTGCACGATTTATTGAGTCAATTAAAGTCGGATCATCTTTCCTTGATTTCTGCTGCAACCTGAGATAGATAGAATCTGATTAGATTGTTAGAGCTTCATCTATCGGTAGTGGTAGATTGATTATACGAGAGTTAATCAATCTACTGCTTTGTACTGGAACCCAATTCCAGTAGTGTAGTTCTGTGCTTATTGCTTCAGCTTTCTATCCCGGTGAAGACTAGTCGTCTGCCGGGTAGTTGGACAGAGAGGGCTTGGTCAGCTTAAGAGATTCCAAGCTACTGTCGGATCTTCCGCAGTTTAATCAACAGTAAATCAACCCAGGGTAATTACAACTGAGACCTAACTAAGGAGCTAGGGGGACTCATTCCCGAGTGACTCTCCCTTTGCTTCAGAAAATCGAATCATTTCCTTCTTTCTTACTGCTTTTAGTTAAAACCACAATCAATCGACTTATTTTGCTAGATAATAGATATTCACGGAGTAGGCAGTAGATCTAGACCCCGGGTTGATAATTAGAACTTGCCACTTTACTCCATTTCTGGACTGCGATTACATTTGGTCGCAGTTTGGTGTTGTGTTCTAGCGTGTCATGATTTTGGCGTCGTTGCCGGGGAACCTCTAGGTTATTGTAGAAACATGAAAGTCTGTTACTTTAGCTTATTTCTTTTCTTTTCTACCATTGCTTTTCACTTGGGTGTTATGTTTTTGTTGGTGCAGATCTGAAACATGGATTCTCAAGGCTTCTCCAACCATTGGGGGTATCAACCACCATCCGTGTGGTATTACCCCGAGACTTCCTGGAGCAACCAAAGAGGAGAAGACTATGGATTCGGATGTCAGTACCAACCCCCCTACTACAGAGAACAACCAAACCCTTGGGAAACTCAAGAACAATATCCTTTTCAAGAAGAGTTCTTGCCACAACCAGAGGGGCCATCTGAGTTGGAGTTAGCCATGGAGGCCTTCATGGGCCACTCTGCAGAGCCATGCTACACTTCACTGGAAGATCCGAACAAACAATTAAGGCTTCTCGTGGAGTAGTTTGCTCAAGACACTGAGAGATCATGCTCCAAGATGGATCTTCAAATCAAAGCTCTTGCCCCTTCCGATCCTTCATTTCTCCATGAAATGGAGGAGACTGTTCAGTGCTCAACGAAGCAAACAGAGTGGGTGGAGCAAGTTTGCTCACATCCTGCTCAAGATCACCTTTCTGCTACCACGCTAGAAGAGGTGGAGGATGACAAAGGCTACAGGGACGTTGAGGAGCATACAGAAGTTATCACAGAGAACTCCCATGATAATCATGATCAGGAAAGTCATCTGGTTGCAGATCACACCTTTCCTCATTTCTACTCTAACAAGCTGGGCCCGAGCGAGGAGATGCAAGATGATCTCATTGAAGAAATTACATGGCGACTTGCTCTACAATCTGTTCTAGAAGAAGAAAAGCGAGAAAGGGTGAGGGAAGAAGTTGTGGAGGATGATGAAGAAAGCAAAAGAATCAATAGACTTCATTATCGGTGGAGAATAGACTCGGCCTGATTCCATGATCTACAGCCTCCAAAAGCAATAGAAAATGGTATTTCAAAAAAATCACCCAAAATATGTGCTGGTACCCCTTTGAAATCTGCCAAGAATTGACCCTGAATAAATCCGCCCTAATCGTCGCTTAATGGACTTAATCATTGTAAAAGAATAGCCTCAGGTCGAATCCGTGATCTGTAGCCTTCAAAATCCAAAAAAAATGGCCTTTTGTCGCCGAAAAAATTATGAAAATGGCATCCGAAAAAAATTTGGGCCAAATCGGTGCTTAATGGAATTATCATTTGTGAAGAATAGGATCAATAGACTTCATTATCGGTAGAGAATAGCATCGGCCTGATTCCGTGATCTGCAACCTCCAGAATTGAATGAAAATGGCATATCGGAAAAATTCCCTGAAATCTGTGATGGTACCCCTCGTATCTGCTTAAAATTGACCCGGAATAAATCCGCCCAAATCGATGCTTAATGGACTTAATCATCATTGAAGAATAGCCTCAAGCCGAATCCGTGATCTGTGGCATTCAAAATCCAAACAAAATGGCATTTCGTCTCCCAAAAAATTACAAAAATGGCATTCGAAAATAAATTGGCCCAAATCATAGCTTAATGGACTTATCATTCGTGGAGAATAGAATCAATAGACTTCATTATCGGTGGAGAATAGCCGCGGCCTGATTTCGTGGTCTGCGGCCTCTATAATCGAAAGAAAATGGCATTTCGCTAAAATCGCCCGAAATCTATAATGGTAGCCTCTTTGAGATCTCACAAAAATTGACCCGGAATAAATCCGCCCAAATCGGTGCTTTATTGACTTAATCATCGTTGAAGAAATAGCCTCAGGCTGAAACCGTGATCTGAAGCCATCAAAAAGCAAAGAAAATGGCCTTTCTTCGCCCAAAAAATTATGAAAATGCCATACAAAAATAAATTGGCCCAAATCGGTGCTTAATGGACTTATCATACGCTGAGAATAGAATCAATAGACTTCATTATTGGTGGAGAATAGCCTCGACTTGATTCCCTGATCTGCAGCCTCCACAATCAAAAGAAAATGGCATTTCAAAAAAATCGCCCAAAATCTGTGATTGTACCCCTTTAGAATCGTCCAAAAATTGACCCGGGATAAATCCACCCAAATCGATGCTTAAAGGACTTAATCATCATTGAAGAGCAACTCTTCTGGCTTCGACCTAGCCTTGTGAGAGGCATTAAAAACCACTCTTCTGGCTTCACCTTGAACTCCAAAGCACTCCAACTTGTAGAGCAACTCCCAAGCTTTAAGACAAGCCTTCCTTGGTCCATTTTCAATGAAGCATTGGAGAGAATCACCCTTGCAAAGTGAGTATCTTGCACATGAACAAACACTTAGTTGCATTTGATGTTTTTCTTTGCCAATTTAACTTGCTTTTTGCTCGAGCAATTGTGGATTGCAAGGTGGGTAAAAATGGATCATATAAGGAACATACTTTTTTATATTAACATTTTTTAATTAGCAACTTCTTTAATTATCATTACACCACTACCTAAAATTAAGGAGAGAGTAAGAAAATTAAAATGGAGAAAAGTACATAAAAGTGTGCTATATATTATTGGAGGATGTGTAGATGAGTAATGGGCCGGACTTTTTTTACGATATTTATGGGCTGGACTTGCTGTTGGGCTTTCCGTTGCATGTTTATCGAGCTTTCCGTTGCATGCTTTCCGTTGCTTACTGTTGGGCTTTCTGCGGGTCAGTTTCAAGAGCCCGTTCACTCTCATCAATTTCCTCTATCAACCATTTTATTTTTTTTTCCACGTAACCTCATTAAAAATTGAAAGGAAATACATCTGTTTTCTCCGGCATCTCATTCTCCAAATTGCCCTTTAGTTACAATTCAGAATAGTCCTATAGATGTTATCTCTAGACAATGACTTGAAATCAAACACCGCGATATACTATGAACCAAATATATCAGTGATAATGTATTGTGTGTGTAAATCGTTATTTAACTTTGAACGAAACCATTTTATATCGACTTATAAAAATAAAAATCATTTTATATCGATAAAATGCTATAACGTTTTGTGCTCTGATAAGCAGGTTTTCTAGTCAGATTGTCAATACTGTATGGTTTAACATACATTACTTAAAATATGTATATTACTAACTAAGAAAATGTGTTTAACAACAACATGCACTAAGAAAGTGCCGTCCACACAACCTAAAGAAGCACAACATTTGATTAACTTTTCAGTATAATGATTCAAAATAACGAAACCCTAAATTACACCACTACTTTGTCCAAATGCTTTTTCCTCTCTAAACCACTTACAATAACTTCTCCAAAACTAAATAGGCACTACTATAGTACTACTGCTGCAAATCTTCAGGATCCAGTGGTACTAATTCCTCGTGGCGAGCTCCAACGTCCTTGTGAAGTATCGCACAAACCGTTACAAGCGTGGTAGGATAAGGAACCCTAGCATGCCTCGACTCCAGCCTTCTCGCCACTTCCGAGTCAACGCAACTTCCCCGGAAACCCTCAAGTTCAGCATCCGCCGCCGCAACGTCGTAGAACTCGCCGTAACGCTCGAAGAAGAGCTGTCGAAGGATCCAAAGCTCGAGGAGATCGGGACAACGTGGGGCGGCGAAAGCCAGCGTGGATACCGCCTTGTTGATCTCCCTAGGGCAGTCCGAGTGTCGGCGGATGTAGGTGAGATTTGCGACGACGATCTCGCACGAATGGTACAGCAACTCGAGGATCCGGATCGCGTTCTCCTCCCTCACTATCTGCTCCGCGGCCACGAAGGCCGCACCCACGTCTCCATCGTCTACGAACCGAGCTATTTTGCCGGTACGGTCCTGGACCCGTTTTTCCCTCTCGTTCTTCAGGTTTCTCAGTCGGTTTTGCAGCTCCGTCACCGCCCTCTCGCACGTAGAACCGTTCCTCCAACAACCACCGCCTCGGAAGAAGCCGGTGATCATTGCTTCAAACTTTCCCCGACTGCTGCTGCTTCTTCTGGCGGGCACCTTCGCGACACTCGTCAACATCATGATTAACGAGACTTTGGTAGAGTTGAAGGAAAAGGGAACTTTGTTGTTTGTTTCCTTTTTTACGCTAGATGGAGGAGATTGGCGTGTTTATATAGGGGAGGAGTGGCCTGATGAGATAGCCTTGCTCGAGTAGGATTAGGAAAACCTTTTAATCGTCGCAAACAAATTAAGTACCACTTTCTTATCCGAGCTGGCTATGTATAATTAGTCCGTTAAGTGTTGTGTATTAGGATTCGTTGCCCATGCATGCAGAGACTTAGCTAGCTAGTTGCCGTGTTAAGAGCCTAGGGTTTTCCCTATGTATACATTGCACTCTCACCGAGTGTGAGAAAAACTCAAGTTGAATAAGAGATTTCTTATCGCAATCGACAGTAGTATTGGAAATTTGGAACCGCGTTAATTAGGGATGACAATTTGAACCCGCGTCTTATCAGGCATTACCTTACGTGATTCGTGATGGGATGTGTATTACCCGACCCGCAGTAGCGTGGAGCGGAGTATGGGTATCTACTTCTGACTCCATGCCCCGCCCTGCCGATTGCTTTGTTGTTTGTTTTCTTAAACGACTCATATTTTCTTTGTTTTAACTCGGATTTCAATTTTTTTATATATATGGAACGAATTTGTTGTGCTCAACAAAATGAGACCCAATTTCAATATTTCTTTAGAAAAAAATTCTTGTCTCTCGTTACCTACTGCATACCATATGGTATCTTCTTCGTTTTTTAATTTGTTTTTGAAAATTTTTGCACAGAGTGAATGAGTTCATTATAATCTATTGGATTTACAAATTTTTCGGAGAACAAGATACAGGAAAAAAAAATACCACACAATACCACCCTGGTATAAGGTGGTATCTTCTGGTACACAATATTGAATGTCGTAAATGACAATTAGTATATTGAGGTGGTATCTTAATGGACTTAATCATCATTGAAAAATAGCCTCAGGCTGAAGCCGTGATCTATAGCCTTCAAAATCAAAAGAAAATTGCCTTTCACTGCACAAAATATTACGAAAATGTCATCCGAAATTAAATTGGCCCAAATCGTTGCATCATGGACTTATCTAGGGGTGGCTATACGGTCCGGTCCGGTTAAATTGGCCCGAACTGATCCGGTCCAGTCCGGTCTTTTTGAAAATATAGGGACCAAAACTTGGATTGGGTACAGTCCGGTTTTGACCCGGTCCGGTCCCAATCCGGTTTTGACCCGTTTTGACCATGTTGCAGAAAATTTAGCAGCATATACCCATTTTTCTGGAATGTAGACAACCTGTTTGTAGCAAAAATCAAGCCAAACATGGTCCAATACAAAATCACAACCATCATTGATGTCTATTACAAACTCGAAGTCCAATTCAAACTTCAAAATAAAAATAAAGTGCATCACAAGTTCACAACCAAAGTTTAGACATCAAACACTAGGAACGTGGGTTGATGTTCCTTTTCCCCTTCAATTTCATTTGTTTATTATATTACTATCAGAACAATTGTGATTTATGGAGTAAGTGGAGTGAAGTGCACATGTAAGAAAGGAACAATTATCAAAACTAATTGCCAACTAAGGTGCTGCTGCCTGCTGCAAATTATCATCTTCACCATTCTAAGTCATCACGTTCCACCATTAAACTAAAACTAATGACTAATAACCTAAAAAACTTACCCAGCTGCTGCTCCCCTCCATTTTTCAAGGTTCGGCGGCTTCAAGCTGCTAAGCTGGTCAGAGGGCGACGAGTTGCTGGGTCACGAGATGCTCGTTGGCCGCTGCTGCTGGGTCACCTCGCGTCGCGGAGCTGAGCGGAGGTGGGAGCGATTGCGACGGCGAGGAGCTGAGCGAAGGTGGGAGCGACTGCAACGGCGCGGAGCTGAGCGAAGGTGGGAGCGACTGCAACGGCGCGGAGCTGAGCGAAGGTGGGAGCGACTGCGTCGACGGCGCGGATCCGACCAACGACCGCGATGCCGATTCGGAGGGGTGAGAATAGAGGAGAGGTATCGGCTAACGGGCACGGCTGCGCTGTTGTGTTGCTGTCCGTTCGGTTTCACTGTTTGAGAAGTTGCAATTTGCAACCCTAGAAGAGTACAGTGGATTCGGCTGGGCTGAATGGGAGGGGGAGTGGGCTGAGTGGTTGGGCTCATCTAGGGCTTGGGCTTTGCATTTGTGTCAGTTTATTATTTATCCGGTATTCCGGTTTTGACACGGTTTTGACACGGATTGGATTGGTCCGGGTTTTTTACTAATTATGAGACCAAAGACGGGATTGGATTGTTTTAAATCCGGTCCTGGTCTTAAACGGTTCGGGTTATACAGTCCGGTTTCCGGTTTTTTATCCGGTCCCGGTCCAAATGGCCAGCCCTAGACTTATCATCCGTGGAGAATAGGATCAATAGACTTCATTATCGGTGGAGAATAGCGTCGGCCTAATTCCGTGATTTGTAGCCTCCAGAATCGAAACAAAATGGCAATTCGGTAAAATCGCCCGAAATTTTTGATGGTACCCTTTTGGAATCTGCCAAAAATTGACCTGGAATAAATCCGCCCAAATCGATGCTTAATCATCATAGAAGAATAGCCTCAGGACGAATCCTTGATCTATATCCAAAATCCACAGAAGATAGCCTTTCGTTGCCCAAAAAATTACGAAAATGTCATCCGAAATTAAATTGGCCCAAATCGGTGCTTAATGGACTTATCATCCGTGGAGAATAGGATCAATAGACTCTATTATTGGTGGAGAATAGCCTCGGGCTGATTCCATGATCTGCAGCCTCCAGAATCGAAAGAAAATTGAATTTGGGAAAAATCGCCAGAAATCTGTGATGGTGTACACCTTTGGAATCTGCCAAACATTGACCCAGAATAAATCCGCCCAAATCGGTACTTAATGGACTTAATCATCGTCGTCAGGCCGAATCCGTGATCTGTAGCCTTAAAAATCCAAAGAAAATGGCCTTTCGTTACCAAAATATTATGAAAATGACATCCGAAAATAAATTGGCCAAATCGGTGCTTAATGGACTTATCATCCATGGATAATAGGATCAATAGACTTTATTATTGGAAGATAATAGCCTCGGCCGCATTCCGTGATCTGCAGCCTCCGGAATCGAAAGAAAAAGGCATTTCGGAAAAATCGCCTGAAATCTGTGATGGTACCCCCTTTGGAATCTGCCAAAAATTGACCGGTATTAAATCCGTCCAAAGCGGTGCTCAATGGACTTAATCATCATTGAAGAATAGGCTCAGGCCGAATCCCTGATCTGCAGGCTTCAAAACGAAAGAAAATGGCCTTTCGTCGCCCGAAAATTACGGAAATGTCATCCGAAAATAAATTTGCCCAAATCAGTGCATAATGGACTTATCATCTGCGGAGAATAGGATCAATAGACTTAATTATCGGTGGAGAATTGCCTCGACCTGAATTTCGTTATTTGCAGCCTCCAGAATCGAAAGAAAATGTCATTTCGGAAAAATCACCCAAAATCTGGGATGGTACCCCTTTTGGAATCTACCAAAAATTGACCCGGAATAAATCCGTCCAAATCGGTGCTTAATGCACTTAATCATCTTTGAAGAATAGCCTCAGGCCGAATCCGTGATCTGTAGTACTCAAAATCCAAAGAAAATGGCCTTTCATCGCCCAAAAAATTACGAAAATGCACTCCGAAAATAAATTGACCTAAATATGTGCTTAATGGACTTATCATCCATGGAGAATAGGATCAATAGAATTCATTATCGGTGGATAATAGCATCGGCCTGATTCCGTGATCTGCAGCCTCCAGAATTGAAAGAAAGTGACATTTCGGAAAAATCGCCTGAAATCTATGATGATACCCCATTGGAATCGTCCGAAAATTGACCCGAAATAAATCCGTCCAAATCGATGCTTAATGGACTTAATCATCATTGAAGAATAGCCTCAGGCCGAATCCGTGATCGGTAGCATTCAAAATCCAGAGAAAATGGCCTTTCGTTGCCCACAAAATTACGAAAATGTCATCCAAAAATAAATTGACCCAAATATGTGCTTAATGGACTTATCATCCGTGGAGAATAGGATCAATAAAATTCATTATCGGTGGAGAATAGCGTCGGCCTGATTCCGTGATCTGCAGCCTTCGGAATCGAAAGAAAATGGCATTTCGGAAAAATCGCCCGAAATCAGCGGTTGTACCCCTTTGGAATCGTCCAAAAATTAATCCGGAATAAATCCGCCCAAATCGATGCTTAATGGACTTAATCATCATTGAAGAATAGCCACAGGCCAAATCCGTGATCTGTAGCATTCAAAATCCATAGGAAATGGTATTTCGTCGCCCAAAAAATTACGAACTGACTTTGACACTTAGCCGTTTTCTGGAAAATTTCCAGTTTCGACCTAGCCTTGTGAGAGGCATTAAAAACGACTCTTCTAGCTTCATCTTGAACTCCAAAGCACTCCATCTTGTAGAGCAACTCCCAAGCTTTAAGACAAGCCTTCCTTTGTCCATTTTCAATGAAGCATTGGAGAGAATCACCCTTTCAAAGTGAGTATCCTACATATGAACAAACACTTAGTGGCATTTGATATTTTTCTTTGCCAATTTAACTTGCTTCGTGCTCAAGCAATTGTGGCTTGCAAGGTGGGTAAAAATGGATCATATCAGGAACATACTTTTTTATATTAATATTTTTTTAATTAGTAACTTCCTTAATTACCATTACACCGCTACCTAAGATTAAGGAGAGAGGAAGAAAAATAAAATGGAGAAAAGTACATAAAATTGTGAATTATATTATTGGAGAATGTGTAAATGAGTTATGGGCCGGACTTCTTTTATGATAGTTATGGGATGGACCTCCTGTTGGGCTTTCCGTTGCATGCTTGTCGAGCCCGTTGTGGTTTCTGCGGGTCAGTTTCAAGAGCCCGTTCACTCTCATCAATTTCCTCTATCAACCAATCTATTTTTTTTTCACGTAACCTCATTCAAAATTCAAAGGAAATACATATGTTTTCTCCAACATCTCATTCTCCAAATTACTCTTTAGTTACAATTCAGAATAGTCCTATGGATGTTATATTTGGACAATGACTTAAAATCAAACACCGCGAGATACTATGAACCAAATATATCAGTGATAATGTATTGTGTGTTTAAATCGTTATTTAACTTTGAACGAAACCATTTTATATCGACTTGTAAAAATTAACCATTTTATATCGATAAAATTCTATAACATTTTGGGTTCTAAAAAGCCGGTTTTCTAGTCAGATTGTTAATAATGTATGGTTTAACATGCATTACTTATAATATGTATATTACGAACTAAGAAAATGTGTTTAGCAACAGCAAGCACTAAGAAAGTGTCGTCCACAACCTAAAGAAACACAACATTTGATTAACCTTATCAGTATAATGATTCAAATTAACGAAACCCCAAATTACACTACTACTTTGTTCAAATGTTTCTTACAAAATATTAAAGCAGATTTAGTTTCCGCCCCCTGCCACGTACGCCCACTTTAACGAGAGGCTGTCCGTGTCAGCGTGTATCTCCACCGCGTTTTGCCCTTTTCTCCTTCTGTTTATATTTTGTTAAATTTCATCCTCCCCAAAATAAGGGGTCTTCCACGTCAGCCTTGGAACAATCCTTGCAACTTTCGGCAATATCAATTTTTTTTTGTTTTACGCTTTTTTTTACCCTGTTCCAATAACGAGACGGTTACCTTTCCCGTGAATAGTAATTATCTTCAAACAAAATGTTTTCACATCTATTTACATTTTATTCCATGGGGAGTTCGAATATTACCAACAACATCTATATGATATTTTATGCTAGCCCTACTCTCTTTCATTTATATGTTTGACGTGGGTTCAAAAAACAACAATATTCTCTGTCAACTCCTTCCTTTCTCTTCCTCCACCCTTACCACGACATTCCATCGTCTATTTTCTTCCTGGGAAATCCGAATAATTATCACCTCATTCAACCTTCCATTGCACTGAAAACTTTCTTGGTGGTGACGATCGGAATTGTTTGCCAACAAAGGGCGGTTGACAGCCACAACAGGGCATCCGGACGGAACGTTAGATACATAGATAATTAGATATGATGACTCATATTCAGGCTAACGGTGGAAACAAAGCGGCAGATTGATATGCGCCACTCAATGCATCGACGGAGGTAGAAGATGAAAGAATTCCTATATGCGGACAGGAAAAAGATTCTGAAGAAGGAGATGGAGTTTCCGGCCACGGTGACACGGTGGGGAATCATCGGCTAACTCTTTGGTACCCCTCTATTATTTAAATTCAAAATATTATTATAAATGTAACTACCATGGTTTGATTTTTACAGTGATCCTGATATAAAGTATTGAGTTGGTACTGCCGTTTTCTGGCAAACTTCCAGTTTCGACCTAGCCATGTGAGAGGCATTAAAAACCACTCTTCTGGCTTCACCTTGAACTCCAAAGCACTCCATCTTGTAGAGTAACTCCCAAGCTTTAAGACAAGCCTTCCTTTGTCCATTTTCAATGAAGCATTGGAGGGAATCACCCTTGCAAAGTGAGTATCCTACACATGAACAAACACTTAATTGCATTTGTTGTTTTTCTTTGCCAATTTAACTTGCTTTTTGCACAAGCAATTGTGGCTTGCAAGGTGGGTAAAAATGTATCATATCGGGAACATACTTTTTTATAACATCATTTTTTAATTAGTAACTTCCTTAATTATCATTACACCACTACCTAAAATTAAAGAGAGAGTAAGAAAATTAAAATGGAGAAAAGTACATAAAAGTGTGCTATATATTGTTGGAGGATTTGTAGATGAGTTATGGGCCGGACTATTTTTAGATAGTTATGGGCTGGACCTGCTGTTGCGCTTTCCGTTGCATGCTTGTCTAGCCCGTTGTGGTTTCTGCGGGTCAGTTTAAAGAGCCTGTTCACTCTCATCAATTTCCATTATTAACTATTCTATTTTTTTTCCACGTAACCTCATTCAAAATTCAAAGGAAATACATATGTTTTCACCAACATCTCATTCTCCAAATTGCCCTTTAGGTACAATTCAGAATAGTCCTATGGATGTTATTTCTAGACAATGACTTGAAATGAAACACCGCGATATACTATGAACCAAATATATCAGTGATAATGTATTGTGTGTTTAAATCGTTATTTAACTTTGAACGAAACCATTTTATATCGAATTGTAAAAATAAAAAGCATTTTATGTCGATAAAATGCTATAACGTTTTGGGCTCTGATAAGCAGGTTTTCTAGTCAAATTGTCAATATAGAATGGTTTAATATACATTACTTAAAATATGTATGTTACGAACTAAGAAAATGTGTTTAGCAACAACATGCACTAAGAAAGTGTTGTCCACACAACCCAAAGAAGCACAACATTTGATTAACCTTTTCAGTATAATGATTCAAATTAACGAAACCCTAAATTACACTCCTACTTAATTTCTTCAAATTCTTTATCCTCTCTAAACCATTTACAAAACTTCTCCAAAACTAAATAGGCACTACTATAGTACTACTGCTGCAAATCTTCAGGATCCAGTGGTACTAATTCCTCGTCGCGAGCTCCAACGTCCTGGTGAAGTATCGCACAAACCTTTGCAAGCGTGGTAGGATAAGGAACCCTAGCATGCCTCGACTCCAGCCTTCTCGCCACTTCCGAGTCAATGCAACTTCCCCGGAAACTGTCACATGTGGCAGATGACATGGCGCCAACAAGGTGACAACATGGCAGCAGCACATGTGGCATGCATGGAAGACTAGTAGCATAGAGATGCTCCTAGGATTCTCCACCATAATGTAGAGCTTTATAGTGCACTTATGAGTCACATAATGGTGACATTGATAGAGTGCATAATGGGGGGACTTAATGGGGTGTATTGATGTAGTAGAGGGACTTTATGAGGGGCATTGATGCCTTGTATGTGGAGAGGCCTATATAAGGAGCCATCTCCCTCATTTGTACTCATTCCATCATTTTTGAGAGTAATACACACTAGAGAGTTCTCCCATTTCCTTTGTCTTTGTTCTTGTTCTTTGCTTTCAAGTGAGTTGAGAGAAAGGCTGCCTAGCGCTCTAACGGAATTGAGAGCTAGGGCCGCACGATCGAGAGTAAGGTCGTGACAAGTGGTATCAGAGCCTGGTTCGGCTTTGTGCTAGCAAAGTTGAACCTAGAGCCAGAAGGAAAGTAAGAACCTCACCAAAAATGACTGGATCAGAAGTCCACGACGATGAGAAGCACCGTGGAAGGGATACCGTGAAGAATCCCAAACCAAAGGGTGACAAGTCAAGCACTCGTGATCCTATGACGTCTCTAGAGAGGCGTGTCTCTAGAATGGAGGTGAAGTTGGCGGAAGACATCAGTGCCATCAAGGATTTGGGAGCAAACTTCACCCAAGTCGAAAGCGATTTTCAAGGTATGAATGCTCGTTTGTCGAGCTTGGAGATTGGTAATGATGGCTTACGAGAAGAGCTTGTGGCCCTCATCAACAACACCATCACCACATCCTTGAACAACGCCATTGGAGTTGTGAAAGAGCAAGTCCAGGCTGAGCTGGTCGGCGTGAAGGAGGAGATTGCAGATCTCAAGAGTGAGGTCACTCTCGTGAAGAGAGCCATGGCTAGCGGACCAGCCACGGTGCAATCCGTCCCACGTGCTGATATTCCAAGACCGAAGAGCTTCGGAGGTTCACGGAATGCGAGGGAGTTAGAGAACTTCCTTTGGAGTCTTGAGCAGTACTTCAAGGCGTCCGGCATCCAAGAGGATGAGGTAAAGATTCGTACCGCTCCACTTTACTTGGTTGATGTTGCCATGGTGTGGTGGAGGCGACGTGAAGCGGACGTCGAAAGAGGTACTTGTGTGATGGTAACGTGGGAAGATTTCAAGAGAGAAATCAAGAGGCAGTTCTACCCAGAGAACGTGGAGTTTGAAGCCCGTTCGAAGTTGAGAAGACTCACCCAGAGGGGTGGAGTTCGAGAATACGTGAAAGAATTCTCGGAGCTGCTTCTAGAGATCCCGGACATCACGGACAAGGAGGCCATGCACGGCTTTCTTGATGGGCTGCAACCATGGGCCAAGATGGAGATGCAACGTCGAGGAGTGCAAGACCTTGCAACTGCCATGGCCACGGCAGAGTCTTTTGTCAAGTACAAACGACAAGAGAGCAGCGGCAGAGAGAAGAGTTCAAAGCCCAACAAGGGTGGAGAACAGCAGAAGCCTTTCAAGGAGGGTTCTCGCACTCAACAACACCAAGGTGGTTCGAGCAAAGGGGGTAAGTACGAGCCAAAACCCATGACTTGTTTCCTTTGCGACGGACCACATCGAGTGCGAGATTGCCCAAGAAAGGCGAGATTAGCAGCCATGGATGCTCAAGATGAGGAGCCCAAGGCGGCGGAGGCCAAGATTGGCTCAATCCGCAAGCTTGGCGCGGCAAAGACCGACGTCATGGAGAGCAAGCGGGGGAGGTGCTATGTTCTGGCGCAATTCATGCAAGGCGAGTCAAAAGCCTTGGTGGATACCGGTGCCACGGACAACTTTCTTCGCGTCGAGGAGGCGAACCGGCTGGGTATTGCCTACGAGAAGGGGCAAGGGAGGCTCAAGACGATCAATTCGGAGTCCATCCCGATTCATGGAGTGGCGCACAACGTACCAATAAAGCTTGGCGAGTGGGAAGGCCTCATCGACTTTTCCGTCGTCACCATGGACGATCACCCAGTCATCCTCGGCATCCACTTCCTCGACAAGGAGGGAGTGCTTTTGAAGCCCAACTCCAACACGATGTGCTTGGAGAAGGAAGGGGAGTTCCATTCGGTTCATCTCTTGAGAGAAGATGGTCCCCATAGTGCTCTATCGGCCATGCAAGTGGTGAAGGGGTTCAAGAAGAATGAACCAACCTTTCTTGTATCCTTGAAGATGGAGGAAGAAAGAGGCTCAACGGGAATCACAACTCCCGTCATCGAAGGTGTCCTCGAAGAGTTCGATGATGTGATGCCATCGGAGTTTCCCAAGAAGCTACCACCAAGAAGGGAGGTGGACCACAAGATCGAGTTGGAGCCAGGAGCGAAGCCCCCTTCGCGAGCACCATACCGCATGTCGCCACCGGAGTTAGAAGAATTGTGGAGGCAACTCAAGGAATTGGTGGACGCAGGCTACATGCGGCCATCGAAGTCACCTTTTGGAGCACCGGTGCTGTTCCAAAAGAAGAAAGAAGGGTCGTTGCGGATGTGCATCGACTATAGAGCCATCAACAAGTTGACGGTGAAGAACAAGTGGCCGATTCCCAACATTGCCGACTTGTTCGACCAGCTTGGAGATGCGATGTGGTTCACCAAGCTAGATCTTCGCTCGGGCTACTATCAAGTGCGGATAGCAGAGGGCGACGAGCCAAAGACGGCTTGTGTGACGAGGTATGGCTCTTACGAGTTTCTTGTGATGCCATTCGGTCTCACCAACGCACCAGCCACGTTTTGCACTTTGATGAATCAAGTGTTCGAGCCATTCTTGGACCGGTTTGTCGTGGTCTACTTGGATGACATCGTCGTGTACAGCAAAACACTCGATGAGCATGCCAAGCATCTACGCCAAGTCTTCCAAGTCCTTCGCGATAACGAGTTGTACGTCAAGAGGGAGAAGTGCACATTTCCCGCCATGGAGGTTCCATTCTTGGGGCACATCATTGGTGGAGGCAAGTTGAAGATGGATGGAGCAAAGGTGCAGGCAATCCAAGAATGGGAGCCGCTGACGAAGGTGCCAGAGTTGCGGTCATTCCTCGGCCTTGCCAACTACTATCGGAGGTTTATCAAGGGCTACTCCAACATTGCAGCACCCTTGACGGATCTCTTGAAGAAGAACAAGGCGTGGGATTGGTCGGAAAGGTGCCAAGAAGCGTTCGAGGCCTTGAAAGAAGCGGTGATGAAGGAGCCCGTGCTCGTGCTCCCCAACCCGATGTTGGCCTACGAAGTGCAGACTGATGCATCCGACTTTGCAATTGGGGGCGTGTTGATGCAAGAAGGGCATCCCATTGCCTTCGAGAGTCGGAAGTTCAGCGAGACGGAAAGGCGATACACCGTTCAAGAGAAGGAGATGACGGCCGTGGTGCATTGCTTGCGCACATGGAGGCACTACTTGTTGGGGTCAAAGTTTGTAGTGAAGACGGACAACGTGGCAACGAGCTACTTTCTGACGCAGAAGAAGCTCACCCCTAAGCAAGCGAGGTGGCAAGACTTTTTGGCCGAGTTCGACTTCGTCATGGAGTACAATCCAGGCAAGGCGAATTCCGTTGCCGATGCTCTTAGCCTCAAGAGTGCAGCCGCAAGCATCAGTCAGCCCACGTTTCCTTTGAAGGAGCGGATCGTTGAAGGCCTTGGCCATGACCCCTTCGCCAAAACCGTAGCGGAGTACATTGAGCAAGGTAAAACTCGGCGGTTTTGGATGAAGGATGGGCTCATCATGACCAAGGGAGAGCGGGTGTTCGTGCCAAGATGGGCCAACTTGAGGAAGGAGATCATAAAGGAGTGCCATGATTCCAAGTGGGCAGACCATCCCGGCATCGAGAGAACGCAAGCGCTCATCGAAGAAGCATATTTCTGGCCGCGTATGAGAGACGACGTGGAGATGTATGTGAAGACTTGTCTTGTGTGCCAACAAGACAAGATGGAGCAGAGAAGCCCGGCAGGCTTGTTAGAGCCGTTGCCCACGCCTCAACGACCATGGGAGAGTGTGAGCATGGACTTCATCATCGGACTTCCCAAAGTCGATGGATGCGGTTGCATCATGGTTGTGGTGGACAGATTCTCGAAGTATGGAGTGTTCATTCCTGGGCCAAAAGACTTAACGGCGGAGGATGCGGCACGACTATTCTTCAAGAACGTGGTCAAGTATTGGGGCATTCCTAGCAGCATCGTGAGCGACAGAGATGGGCGCTTCACGGGCAGGTTTTGGCGAGAGTTGTTCAAGATCATGGGCTCAAACTTGAACTTCTCGACGGCATTTCATCCTCAAAGCAACGGACAGACGGAGCGGGTGAATGCCTTGTTGGAGGTGTACTTACGGCACTACGTGAGTGCAAACCAACGAGATTGGGTGAAGTTGATGGACACGGCGCAGTTTTCCTACAACTTACACCGCAGCGAGTCGACCAACACGAGTCCATTTGAGTTGGCGACGGGGCAACAACCTTTGACACCTACGACGGTGGCAACGGGGTATAGAGGCAACAGTCCGGCGGCCTACAAGTTCGCTAAAGGCTGGCACGAGAAGATGGAGATGGCCAAGTCTTACTTAGCCCGCGCTAGCAGGAAGATGAAGAAATGGGCGGACAAGAAGCGGCGGCACTTGGAGTTTGAAGAGGGAGACATGGTGATGGTCAAGTTCTACCCTCATCACTTCAAGCATCTCAAGAACGTGCACAAGGGACTGCTTCGCCGCTATGAAGGGCCATTCCCCATCGTGAAGAGGATTGGCAATGTGGTATACAAGGTAGAGCTGCCGACGCACTTGGAGATCCATCCGGTCTTTCATGTGAGCCAACTCAAACCTTACCACGAAGACAAGGAGGACGAGCAGCGAAGGGAGCCGCAGCGCGCACCAACACTCGTCACCAAGACACACGACCATGAAGTCGAAGAAATCATGGCGCGTCGTGTCATTCCTCGTCGCGGCGTACATCCAAGCTTTGTGGAGTACTTAGTCAAGTGGCGCAACCTGCCGGAGAGTGAAGCAACATGGAAGAAAGAGCTCACGCTTTGGAAGAACAAGGACTTGATCGAGGCATTCCATCAAGAGGACGCGACGAGGGCGTCGCGAGCATAGGTGGGGGAGGATGTCACATGTGGCAGATGACATGGCGCCAACAAGGTGACAACATGGCAGCAGCACATGTGGCATGCATGGAAGACTAGTAGCATAGAGATGCTCCTAGGATTCTCCACCATAATGTAGAGCTTTATAGTGCACTTATGAGTCACATAATGGTGACATTGATAGAGTGCATAATGGGGGGACTTAATGGGGTGTATTGATGTAGTAGAGGGACTTTATGAGGGGCATTGATGCCTTGTATGTGGAGAGGCCTATATAAGGAGCCATCTCCCTCATTTGTACTCATTCCATCATTTTTGAGAGTAATACACACTAGAGAGTTCTCCCATTTCCTTTGTCTTTGTTCTTGTTCTTTGCTTTCAAGTGAGTTGAGAGAAAGGCTGCCTAGCGCTCTAACGGAATTGAGAGCTAGGGCCGCACGATCGAGAGTAAGGTCGTGACAAAACCCTCAAGTTCGGCATCCGCCGCCACAACGTCGTAGAACTCGTCGTAACGCTCGAAGAAGAGCTGTCGAAGGATCCAAAGCTCGAGGAGATCGGGACAACGCGGGGCGGTGAAAGCCAGCGTGGATACCGCCTTGTTGATCTCCCTAGGGCAGTCCGAGTGTCGGCGGATATAGGTGAGATTTGCGACGACGATCTCGCACGAATGGTACAGCAACTCGAGGATCCGGATCGCGTTCTCCTCCCTCACTATCTGCTCCGCTGCCACGAAGGCCGCACCCACGTCCCCATCGTCTACGAACCGAGCTATTCTGCCGGTACGGTCCTGGACCCGTTTTTCCCTCTCTTTCTTCAAGTTTCTCAGTCGGTTTTGTAGCTCCATCACCGCCCTCTCGCACGTAGAACCGTTCCTCCAACCACCACCGCCTCGGAAGAAGCCGGTGATCATTGCTTCAAACTTTCCCTGACTGCTGCTGCTGCTTCTGGCAGGCACCTTCTCGATACTCGTCAACATCATGATTGACGAGACTTTGGTAGAGTTGAAGGAAAAGGGAACTTTGTTGTTTGTTTCCTTTTTTACGCTAGATGGAGGAGATTGGCGTGTTTATATAGGGGAGGAGTGGCCTGATGAGATAGCCTTGCTCGAGTAGGATTAGGAAAAATTTTTAATCGTCGGAAACAAATTAAGTACCACTTTCTTATCCGAGCTGGCTACGTATTAGTCCGTTAAGTGTGGTGTATTAGGATTCGTAGCCCATTCATGCAGAGACTTAGCTAGCTAGTTGCCGTGTTATGAGCCTAGGGTTTTCCCTTTGTATATATTGCCCACTAAACGAGTGTGAAAGAAATTCAAGCTGAATATGAGATTTCTTATCGCAATCGATCGACAGTAGTATTGGAACTGCGTAAATTAAGGATGATAATTTGAACCCACGTCTTACCGGGCATTACCTGACCTGACTCGTGATGGGATGTGTATTACTCGACTCGTAGTAGCGTGGAGCGGAGTATGGGTATTTACTTCCGACCTCATGCCCTGTCGATTTCTTGTCCCATTCTATCTATATTTATGTATTTATATTTCTCATATTTTGACTTTTTTAACTAGCTAGTTAGACGGTAGAGATTTGATCTTTTAACTAGTTAGACTTAGCTACCTATTCTATTATCACTAATTTTCATTCATAAACTATTTTCGCTAATTCATCCAAAAAAAAAAAACTATTTTCGCTTCGGTTTGTCGTAAAAAAAATAAATTTTTGCTTAAAATTTTTAAATAACATGTAACAGTGTGTTCACCTGCCCCGCTCCATAACTGAGCAGGTATTACTCGCCCCGACCCGCATTGGTATTACCCATCTCGACTTGCACTTGGTGTGGGGCGGGTATGGGTATTGAGATTCTCGTCCCACCCCATTCATTTGTCGTCACTAACGTAAATTTGTTAGTCTTTATTGTTTTCAGCGACAGCTAGGGGTGGGCAATTGGCGGGTTAGGTGGTTTTTCGTTTCAAATTGACTCACCCGCTTACTAGCGAGTCGGAATAATTGTGACCCGCAATCCACCCACATTTTTTGCGGGTCGGGTTGGGTGCGTGGCGGATGAGTGCGGTTGGGTTGTGGGTTAACCCGCAAAAGCAGTTCTCCAACTAGCAATTAAGAAATTTGACTAAAATTTATAATAAGTTCATACTAAATTAGTAAGACTATACCTATTTAAACACTTCTCACTTTTTTTAAGTGAATTCATGTAGTATTTGCATAAAAAATTTTACTACTCTATCAACCAATTGTGAGACAACTTACGCATTTTGTGGTTTTGATAAAATTCAATATTTAATGGATTATAACAATAATACGTATTCTCATATCCAAAATCTAATGTATATTACACAATACAATAACCAATAATAGTAGTTAAAACGATATTTTTCATGTGAAAATAAGATGCGGGTCATTCGGTTGACCCGCAATCCACCCACCACTCACCCACATAAGTGCGGTTGGGAGATTTATCAATGCATAATCACTTGTATCAATCACCCACTGCTTGCGAGTCGGGTTATTTGTGGGTGGCGATATCAATCCGCGGATTAACCACCCACGTGCCCACGCCTAGCGACAGCTCACAGGTATTATAACATATATATGGGTTATACCTGTGATGCGATCGTGATATGGTCCCTTTAGAGGTCATTTGGATGGGGAATTTTAATAACGAGCAATTTGAATCCGAATGTCACGATTTAAAATACCCGAGAATGTATAAATGGGATTTGTGACAAATATAGTGGTTGTTGAGTGGAAGAAGAAATGTCACGAGGAGATGAAATTGTTGGTTAGTTGTGGTTGGAGTGTAGTGGTATGTTATATCTTTATACGGATTATTGGTCGGACTTAGTATTTGGCTTTTCGTTGCATGCTTGTCGAGCCCGTTGTTGTTTATGTGGGTCAGTTTCAGGAGCCCGTTGTAGTTTCACGCAATGACATTAATTTCCACTATCAATTTATTTATCTTTTTTCATGGATTATCATCAAACTCGCGGGTTAATTGCACAGGTTGTCACTTAAGTTCTATACTGGTTGCGTGTTGACCATTGAAGTAATATTTGTTGCAACTAAACCACTTAACTCTAACTTTTGTTGCAACGTTATCTTTTCCGTCCCAAAACTTAACGGCGGGTATGAAAACATAATTATTCATGCCACGTGGGCAATCCAACTAAGTTGAGTTGTCGTTGTGTTATCATTCGCCAGTGCGCACCATCCAACGACGATCCCTTCAAAATTTTACACTATTCATTTAGCAAGAAGTCAAGAACTTGGAGGTAAAGCATGGGACCGGTTGCCCAAAATTCAAACTCGAGCCCAAATCTGGAAGAGAATCATGTAATTAGCGAATGTATTTGGATGAGGAGGAGTGGAGGACGATGTCTTTTACACGGTGAAAGAATCCTCTACTTTAAGCTTGAGGCGGTATTGCTTCCTATTTGGGACAAACTTGAATAAATTGCAGACGAAGATAGTGAGCAAGAGGAAGAGAATGAAGAAGAGCAATTACAAAAGAAAGCATTGAATAACAGAGGCCTTTGTCATTTTCATGGCTGAATTGGAGAGCTGTCGGCGCTAGATTTAGTATTTGTGAATGAATCTAGTATAAGAGAAATTGATAGACTGTTTTGTTGGACGCTTCAACTCTGGCCCCTGAAAATAACACAAAGGCAAAGCCTTTAGCCGGTCAGTCTCTGTTTTCTATGAGATAAAAACATAGTGAATTTTTTTTTTTTAGTTTCTTTTGTCTTGGCTGGGTGGATGGAGAGCAATTGAATGAATTTCGACTTGTATCACAGTTGGATGTAAGCCTTGGTAGGATCTCTAGAGGATTGGTTCTTTTGATTTGAGGTTGCTGGCTTCTCCCAACACCTCTGCTTTTGTCCTGTTTTTCTCTCTGGCTTCTGTATTTTGTTGTGTTTAATTAATACTAATAAGATCACCATTAAAAAATAACAGAGTGAAGTAAATCGAACTAAGCACTGAAATTGTAAATAAGACGAGATGTTTTGTTAACCCAAAGCTTAATCACCAATGCCCTCCATTTGTGAGTTGTCCAAGTAAACGATTGGTTGATAATATATTTGTCTTCATTATTTGAGGTTTTCCACCTAATAGTAATAATTTAGCTCCTTTGATCCAGCAATTACAACGGTGCTAAGGACAACATATTGGCTTAAACAAAATTATATTTGCTTTTCATGTTACCATCATTATACGTTTATATGCTAATATGTGGTATATGCGGAGTGTGCCAGTGTGGCATTGCCGAAGAGAGCCAACGGTGGTGGTGGGTTACGGCGACGGAGGGAATTGCCCAACAATTCAGACTGGGGTGAATTGCAACTTTGGTCACCCATATTATCAATTTGTAACATGTTAGCTACCCGAATTACTTTCTCTTCAATTTAGCCATCGATACTACACGTTTATATCATCCTTGGTCACTCGCCGTCTAGTTCCGTTAAATCTGTCCTATGTAGCGGTCAATAGTTAAATTTGACTGTCAAATGGTGATGTGGCAATTAAAAAATAAATAAATATTTATTTTTTAATTTAAAATGAATAAAATAAGAAAAGGAAAATAAAAACCCTACCCCTACGCCTACTCTGCCCCTCTCTCACTTTTTCTTGGCGCCGCCGCCGATACCATTTGCGAGCAAGCTCCCCTGTTCCTAGAAGATCCACCGCCGCCGATACCAGTTCCGAGCAAGATCCCCTACCATTTCCAAGCGTGTGTCGATTGACGGGTGGAGACACGGGAGGCAGTTCGATGTGAATCGTTTGTTCGGGGAGGAATGAGACGAGGGGCAGTGCTCTATCTCCCAACAGTGGTGGCCGGGGTATGAATCTGGCGGCACCGGTGACGAGGATGGAGAATCAGTTGGTGCGGCGAGGGGTGAATGAGTGGCGGACCTATTTCTCACAGGCGGGGTCGCCGATTGCGAAAGAGGTGGGGAAGCGAGACGCAGCAGAAACAGAACTCCGACGATCTCTCTTTCAGCCATCTCGTCGCGAGATCTGAACGCTGAAGATCTCCCCATCAACGGCAAGCACGAATTAGTTCGACACAGGGAGCTTCATTCCAGCTCCGCCCTTGAATTCGACACAGGGAGCCGACGCCTTGTCCTGCCGAAAACGTTGAAACAGGGCTGCCTGCCACCATCCTCATCCAGTTCTTAGCGCATGAAACCGTCAATAGGATCTGAGAGGGATTAACTCCCTGATTTCAGGGTGTGGAATTGCAGGGGCTTCACCATCACTTTTCAAAGGGAAAAGGAACTCAGGAACACCTTGCATGCACAACTGCAAACATCATCCCTGATATCAATAGACTCCAAAACAATCCAAACCCAAAAAATTCCATCCATCGGCGGCAAAGACGCCAACGTTGTCCCTGGTGAAGGGATGATTTGGCGTTATGGTCTGTGAAATTGGTTAATTGGGTTCTAGCTTGTAACCGACGTTAGTCAACCAAACCCTTGCCGGCTGGTGACTCCACCCGTCTCCTCTCCATAGCAATCGGCCTGAGCGTTCGCCGGGATCCGCATCGACGTGGCAACCTCGTAGAACCGCCGACGAAGCTCATCATCTCCCCATCCTAGGATTATCGTCATGCCGTCACCTTCCTTGTGCCGCCGTCGTTTGTTTCCTTCTGCATTTCTCTTCGTCGATTTTCAGAAAGAAAGAAAGGATGGAGAGAGGGGATGATGGAGAAAAAAGCAGATTTTCTATATTTTGTACTATGACATGGAAGTTATTAAATGGTTATGTTTTATTTTTTTATTTTTGAATTGACACATCATCATTTTAACAGTCAAATTTAACTGTTGACCGCCACGTAGGACAGATTTAACGGAACTAGACGGCGAGTGACCAACGATGACATAAACCTATAGTATGGATGGCTAAATTGAAGGGAAAGTGATTTGGGTGGCTAAAGTGTTACAAATAGGTAATATGGGTCACCAAACTTGCAATTCACCCATTCAGACTGATTAGGATTGTCTACTGAATAATTCCAATTTCATACCCATTGTTAAATTTTGGACGGAGAAAATAACTATGCATCAAAAAATAGAGTTAGGTGGTTTAATTGCAACAAATATTACTTCCATGGTCAACGTGCAACAAGTCTAGAACTTAAGTGACATCCGTTGTAGTTTCACGTAATGACATTAATTTCCACTATCAATTCAATTATCTTATTTCACGGAATATCATCAAAGTCGCAAAAATCAAAGGAAAAACATACGTTTTCTCCAAACTACTCTTTAGTTCCAACTCTTATAAACATTCAAATCGTTAATTTAATGATAATATTATTCATCATCCATCACAAGCTAGGGCTTACTAAAAAGAAATGGCAATTATAAGCAGACAAAACAGTTGAAGATACAAATCTTTTCGCCACTGGGGGTGTATGGATAAGGAAATCAGCATGTACCGTAAAATCGTACGAAAGGTTGTACCAGATAAATCGGTGATAATGTATTGTGTGCTTATCGTGATTTAATTTTGATTGAACCCATTTTATATTGATAAAATTCTATGACATTTTTTGTTCCGATAAATAGGTTTAAACTCCTAGTACTGTAAGGTTTATCAAACACAATTAAAAATATGTATAACACGAACTAAGATAGTACATTTAGCAAACACTACTCAAAATATGTAAGAACACTAACTAAGAAAGTGTAGTCTACAACCTAAAGAAACACAACATATGTACTACATTTGATTAACCTTTTCAGTATTAATGATTCAAAAAACTGAAACCCTAAAATACTAATTTTTTCAAAAGTTTATCCGAGTAATGAATCTCACCCATCAGATTTAAGTGGGTCCAGAAAATCCAAATCTAAGGGTGGAGAATTAAATGCATTTTTATTTTCCTTTGGTTTCTTAAACGACTCGTATTTTTTTTTGTTTTAACTCGGATTTTAATTTTTTTATACATGGAACGAGTTCGTTGTGCTCTACAAAAATGAGACCCAATTTCAATATTTCTTTAGAGAAAAATTCTTGTCTCTCGTTACCAACTGCATACCATATGTTATCTTCTTCATTTTTTAATTTGTTTTTGAAAATTTTTGCACAGAATGAACGAGTTCATCATACTCTATTGGATCTACAAATTTCTGGGTGAACAAGAAACAGGACAAAAAAATACCACACAATACCACCCTGGTATTGGGTGGTATCTTGTGGTACACAATATTGAATGTTGTAAATGACAATTAGTATATTGAGGTGGTATCTTAATGGACTTAATCATCGTTGAAGAATAGCCTCAGGCTAAATCCGTGATCTGTAGCCTTCAAAATCCAAAGAAAATGGCTTTTCGTCGCACAAAAAAATTACGAAAATGTCATCCGAAAATAAATTGGCCCAAATTGGTGCTTAATGGACTTATCATCCGTGGAGAAAAGGATCAATAGACTTCATTATTGGTGGAGAATAGCCTCGTCCTGATGTCGTGATCTGCAGCCTCCAGAATTGAAAGAAAATAGAATTTGGGAAAAATTGACCGAAATCTGTGATAGTACCCCTTTGGAATCTGCCAAAAATTGACCCGAAATAAATCCGCCCAAATCGGTGCTTAATGGACTTAATCATCGTTGAAGAACAGTGTCATGCCGAAGCCGTGATCTATAGCCTTCAAAATCCCAAGCAAATTGCCTTTCGTTGCCCAAAAAATTACGAAAATGCCATCCGAAAATAAATTTGCCCAAATCGATGCTTAATGGACTTATTATCCGCGGAGAATAGGATCAATAGACTTCAATATCGGTGGAGAATAGCCCCAGTCTGAGCCGTGATCTGCAATCTCCAGAATAAAAAAAAATGGCATTTCGGAAAAATCGCCTGAAATCTGTGATGGTACCCTTTTGGAATCTGCCAAAAAATGACCCGAAATAAATCCGCCAAAATTAGTTCTTAATGGAATTAATCATCATTAAAGAATAGCCTCAGGCCGAAGCCGTGATCCATAGCCTTCAAAATCCAAAGAAAATTGCCTTTCGTCACCCAAAAAATTACGAAAATGCCATCCGAAAATAAATTGGCCCAAATCGGTGCTTAATAAACTTATCATTGGTGGAGAATAGGATCAATAGACTTCATTATCAGTGGAGAATAGCATCGGCCTGATAACATGATCTGCAGCCTCCATAATCGAAAGAAAATAGCATTTCGGAAAAATCGCCCAAAATTTGTGATGGTACCCTTTTGGAATCTGCCAAAAATTGACCCGGAATAAATCCCCCCAAAATTGATGCTTAATCATCGTTGAATAATAGCCTCAGGCCGAATCTGTTATTTGGAGCCTTCAAAATCTAAAGAGAATGGCCTTTCGTCGCCAAAAAAATTACGAAAATGTCATCCGAAAATAAATTGGCCCAAATCAGTGCTTAATGGACTTATCATCTGCGGAGAATACGATCAATAGACTTCATTATCGGTGGAGAATAGCCTCAGCTTGATTCCGTGATCTGCAGCCTACAAAATCGAAAGAAAATGGCATTTCAGAAAAATCGCCCAAAATCTGTGATGGTACCTCTTTTGGAATCAGCCAAAAAATTGAACCGGAATAAATCAGCCCAAATCGATGCTTAATCATCATTGAAGAAAAGCCTCAGGCCGAATCTGTGATTTGAAGCCTTCAAAATCCAAAGAAAATGTCCTTTCGTCGCCAAAAAAATTACGAAAATGTCATTCGAAAATGAATTGACCCAAATCGATGCTTAATGGACTTATCATCTGTGGAGAATACGATCAATAGACTTCATTATCGGTGGAGAATAGCCTCAGCCTTATTTCGTGATCTGCAGCCTCCAAAATCGAAAGAAAATGGCATTTCGCAAAAATCGATCGAAATCTGTGATGGTACCCCTTTGGAATCTGCCAAAAATTGACCTGGAATAAATCCACCCAAATCGATGCTTAATGGACATAATCATCGTTGAAGAATAGCCTCTGGCCGAATCCGTGATCTTTAGCCTTCAAAATCCAAAGAAAATGGCCTTTCGTCGCCCAAAAAATAACGAAAATGTCATCCGAAAATAAATTGGCCCAAATCAGTGCATCATGGACTTATCGTGCGTGGAGAATAGGATCAATAGAATTCAATATCGGTGGAGAATAGTGTCGGCCTGATTCCGTGATCTGTTGCCTCCAGAGTGAATCTGCCAAAAATTGATCTGGAATAAATCCACCTAAACTGGTTCTTAATCATCATTAAAGAATAGCCTCAGGCCAAATCCGTGATCTATAGCCTTCAAAATCCAAAGAAGATAGCCTTTCGTCGCCCAAAAAATTAGGAAAATGCCATCCGAAAATAAATTCGCCCAAATCGGTGCATAATGAACTTATCATTCGTGGAGAATAGGATCAATAGACTTCATTATCAGTGGAGAATAGCATCGGCCTGATAACATGATCTGCAGCCTCCAGAATCGAAAGAAAATGACATTTCATATAAATCGCCTGAAATCAGTGATGGTACCCCTTTGGAATATGCCAAAAATTAACCCGGAATAAATCCGCCTAAATGGGTGCTTAATGTAATTAATCATCGTTGAAGAATAGCCTAAGGCTGAATTTGTGATCTATAGCCTTCAAAATCCAAAGAATATGGCATTTCCTCGGCCGAAAAATTACAAAAAATGCCTTCTGAAAATAAATTGGCCTAAATATGTGCTTAATGGACTTATCATCCATGGAGAATAGGATCAATAGCCTTCATTATCGGTGGAGAATAGCCTCGGCCTGATTCTCTGATCTGCAGCCTCCAGAATCGAAAGAAAATGGCATTTCAGAAAAATCGCCGAAATCTGTGATGGTACCCCTTCGGAATCTACCAAAAATTGACCGGGAATAAATTCGCCCAAATCGGTGCTTAATGGACTTAATCATCTTTGAAGAATAGCCGCAGGCATAATCCGTGATCTGTACCCTTCAAAATCCAAAGAAAATGGCTTTTCGTCGCACAAAAAAATTACGAAAATGTCATCCGAAAATAAATTGGCCTAAATTGGTGCTTAATGCACTTATCATCCGTGGAGAATAGGATCAATAGACTTCATTATTGGTGGAGAATAGCCTCATCCTGATTCCATGATCAGCAGCCTCCAGAATCGAAAGAAAATGGAATTTGGGAAAAATCGCCCGAAATCTGTGATAGTACCCCTTTGGAATCTGCCAAAAATTGACCCAGAATAAATCCGGATAAATCGGTACTTAATGGACTTAATCATCGTCGAAGAACAGCGTCATGCTGAATCCGTGATTTGTAGCCTTTAAAATCCAAAGAAAATGGCCTTTTGTCACCCAAAATATTATGAAAATGCCATCCGAAAATAAATTGGCCCAAATCGGTGCTTAATGGACTTATCAT